AAAAACTGGTCGCCATCTTCGGTACCAAGAGCAAGGCGCAAATTATGGCGCTGGGCAAGGGCATTGCGGTGAACCACGTGCAAGCCGGGACAACCAAACCTAAGGCAAGTGCACTGGGCAAGCGAAAGGCCGCACCCGAGCCCATCAACGATCTGCACTACAACGTGGGGCATAAATCGTGCCACTACTGCGCTGGGGAGTTCAACGACATGAATGATGTCGGTCCTCATCTGATTGCTGCCTGCCCCAAAATGAAGTACGACTTGAGCCTGGGCGTCAAGCGTAGGAACATCTGGAGCCGCGGCAAACAAGTGGGCACTTGCTGGTCGAAGCCGCAAGGAAAGGGAAAGTCGGCTACCAAGATCAAGAAACCAGCCCGCAAGCAGGTCCCAGTTGAGGACTGTCTACCGAAACCGGTGAATGCGTGCGAGACGGTGCAGCCAGTTGCTTCACAAACTCCACCGCCTGTCAGCCCGCCAACGTCAATGTTGACACCCGGCTACGAAGATATGCACGGCATCGAGCCAATGGACACGGACGAGTCCATGTCGTTCTTCGACACGCCTGTCAACGCGGGACAAGTCACGGAAGCGCCAACCGGTGATGGGCAGATCGCCGACATGGCGGCAGGTGTCAACAAGATGGCAGTTGACTTGGAACAAGCGGTAAGATCCATGTATCCTTTTCTGCTTGACAGTGAAACATTTCTGACCAATGACTCTTGGGTACTCGATTCAGGATGCGGGTTCGGGTTAACCAGTGAGGAGTCCCGGTTCGTGGAGAAGAGACCCGACAACGGTTACATGTTTACATTTGCAGAAGGGTCTAAGCATACAAATACACACATTGGCACTGTGAAACTTTATTTGCATGGTCCGGGAGGTATCCGACCGTTTCAGTTTACAAACATTGCGCTTGTACCGCATGCTAAGTCGAATATTCTTAGCGAATACTGGCTACAAAGGGGAGGGTATCAGATTAGAGGGTCAGCCAATGGCGACTTTAAATTTGTCCTCTATAAGAACCAATTGGTTTTTGTGGCCAAGGCAACTAACGGGGCGTATTATATACAATCCAAAACAGTAAAAGAACGACAAGCGTTCTGCCATGCGGTGAAAACGCAACCATGCAAGCCATTGGCACTGCCAGGAGTGGGCAAAGTAGAGGCTGCACTAAAGGAATGGCACGTAAAGCTGGGGCACTTGAGCAAAGAGCAGGTGATCACAATGTTATCCAAACCAGTGGTAGCCGGTATGCCCACACTAAATGCATCTGATCTAAGGCAAGTGCCATTCTTCTGTACAACATGTACGGAAATGAAGAAGAAACGGATGTCGTATCGCAATACAAAGGGCTCAAGAGATGCAAAGCCGATCAGCACGGTACACATGGACACAAATGGTCCGATGAAGACAATGGGAGTCTTTGGAACCGTGGGCACTATCAAGTACTTCTTGAGCATCATTGATGACAACACGTCATGGCGTTGGACATACGTTCTGCGGAACAAGAAAGAAGTGTTCGAGAAGGTCCGAGAGCTCCTGCTGCAACTTGAACGTGAAGGAAAGTTCACAATCAGGAGGATTCGATCCGATGGTGGAACCGAGTTCGTGAACTCAGCGTTCAAAGACTTCTGCAAGGAAAAGGGCATCATCTTTCAGACATCAAATACATACAGCCCAGAAATAAACGGGGCGGCAGAGCGGGAATACCAAAGCAAACTAGACAGAGTTCGCTGTGCGCTCAAAGATGCTGACATGGAGCATAGATGGTGGCCAGAAGCCTTGATCTATATGACCTATGTTCAAAATCGTACCCCAATGAGTCGGTTGGGTGGAAAGACACCATACGAGATGGTGCACGGGAAACCACCCAACATTAGTGGCTTACCTGTGTGGGGTAGTATCTGCTTTGCCCACATACCGACTGCACTTCGCAAAGACAAGAAACTGTCTGCTAGAGCGCTTAAGTGCCGGTTCCTGGGTGTCTCAGAAGAAGCCAAGGGCTACAGACTATGAGATGTCTATAACAACAAACACATCGTTGCTCGAGATGTGCTGTTTGACACAACCAATGTAGCAAACATTGTCAATCGAGCCTTTGACCAGTCCAACCCGGAGGTCACAACTCAATTTGCTCTGCGAGAGATACCCGGAGCAGTGAGAGAACAGCAGACTGCATCTGAGCAGGAGACTGCTGAAGCAGTGGGAGTTGCACCTCCTACTGTGCCTCCAATTGAGCCCGCTGAAGCAGTGGGAGTATCCAAAAGAAGACGGAGCGCAGGGTTAGTGGAAGCTTCACAGCCTGTAGCGCGACCCCGTCGAGAGTCCAAACGACCAAAACGGTTCCAGGACTATCAGTGCTTCCAGGCAATCCTGGACAAAGCTAACGCGGAAGAGATCCTAGAAAACAAAGTTTCCATACCAAAAACTATCAGAGAAGCTCTGCGTGGACCCCATAGGGAGCAATGGAAACAGGCCCTAGAGTTAGAGTACGACGCTCTCATTGAGAATGAAACCTGGAGATTGGTACCACTACCACCTGGCCGAAAAGCTCTACCATGTCACTGGGTGCTCGTGGTGAAATACAACGCTGACGGTACTGTCGAGTGATTCAAAGCACGACTCGTTGCTTAAAGTAACTACCAAGAATTTGGAGTTGACTGTGACGAGGTATATGCACAGGTAGCAAGGTTTGGGTCCCTTCGCTTGGTATTAGCCATTGGGACTATACTGGACTGTCATATCCATCAAATGGATGTCCACACTGCGTTCCTAAACGGTACCATGGAAGGAGAACAGAAAATCTACATGAAACAACCTCAAGGGTTTGCGAAGCGAGGCCAAGAGCAGCTGGTCTGTGAACTTCTAAAGAGCATCTATGGGCTAAAGCAGGCCTCTCGCATCGGGTATAGAGTTCTTCATACCTTCTTGACATCGATGGGTTTTGCTCGTTGCCACAAAGAGTTTTGTATCTACGTGCAAAAAGTGGGAGATGAATGGCTTATTGTCGCGGTATATGTCGATGACCTCACTATTATGTCTCGTGACATGGGGCTCATCAACCGACTGAAAGTCGAGCTGTCAAAACGGTTCAAAATGAAAGATCTGGGAGACATTCACTACATCCTCAAGATGGAAGTGCGACGCAACAGAAATCAGCGAGTGATGATGATCTCACAACGCAAGTATATCGCTGAGCTGATAGCTAAGTACAACATGGTGAACAGCTCACCTGTACTAACCCCACAAGTACCAGGGTTGACGCTAGAAGCTGAGACGAAGATGAATGCTAAGCAAATAGCAGCGCAGCCTTTCGACTACAGAGGCATAGTTGGATCACTCCAATACCTGGTTCGTGGAACACGACCTGACATTGCCAACACGGTGAGAGAATTAAGCAAGTTCCTATCGTGCTACAATCGTACACACTGGGAAGCGGCTAGACGAGTCCTCAAATACTTGAAAAAGACGTCGACGTACGGTCTACTACTCGATGGAAAAGAGAGTGACGTGACTTACGAAGTGTACACAGACGCGAGCTACGCGTGTCAACCAAAAGAACGCAAATCAGTCACCGGCTATGTGATTAAAATGGCTGGAACCAGCGTGTCGTGGTGTAGTAGCAAGCAAGGAGGTGTTTCTCTTTCTACTGCTGAGGCAGAACTCATCGCACTAAGCGAAGGTGCCAAGGAGAGCGAGTGGCTATGGCATCTTCTAGGAGAAATGTGATTTCCACAAAAGGGTCCGGTGCAAGTCTGGTGCGACAGCAATGCTGCCATCAGCATCGTCAGAAACCCAGGAAACCACAAAGCAAACAAGCACATCGAAATACGGTATCTTTTTACGAGAGATCTGGCAGAACTTGGTCATCTCAAGATAACCTATTGTGCCACAACAGAGATGGCTGCCGATATTCTGACAAAGGCATTGCCAACCAAACAATTCCTAAAGCTGAGGCATAAGCTAGGAGTGATGGATCTAGAGCTTACCCCTAGTACTTAGTGGGAGTATTGGCCAGCATGGCGATCAGACGCCGCCAGACAGATGCTGGACAGAATTAAGTGTGTCAACACAATAAAAGACTTACTTTCATTAAAGCAATAGTAAGTACTAGAGTAAAACAGATCCTATGAGCACTTGGATAGAGTGCACCAGCAGGCAGAGGCTGTCTGCCAACCAGTGCGATGAGGACTTGAAGGCAGAAGGGAGAGATGCCGTCCGAGGACTGCGTCCTCGGACGAGCTCACTTCTTCTTCTGCCTCAGACTGAGCACAAGTCTAGAGAATAGGTAGTTAAGAGTAAAAGTAAATCGACTGTTTTGAGAGCTACTCTACAGCGTTCATTCTAACACTTAGGGGTCAAACAAACAGGTACATTAATGAGAGCTTATGCAATGACCATCAGCTCGATCCGAAAAGGGACGAGGAGAGGCGGGTCTTTCTTGTTCGTTGTTCTTGTTCTCCAAATGCGAAGTGAGGAGTAGAGGCCACGTGTGTGGTTGGCAGCTTTCGGGGAGTACACGTACCGGTACAACGACGGTTATACCGGTCACAGATAATCTCGTGTGGAAAACACAATTCCCTTCCTCCGCTCCGCTCCACTATGGAATACACCTTCTATGTCGCCCCCCCCATCTTCAACGGTAGTACAAACTACAAAAGTGAAAGGACAAAGTGTGAGGGAAAAAATATTGCAGATGAGCAGCGACTGTTATTGTAACGGGGTACAATCCAGTGTACCCCAGGCTACGTGAAGAGTGACCCGTCACTCTTGTGGATACGTACCCTACGCTCGAACTTCTCTGTATTGAGTGTTTAGTGTGGCCCACACATGCCGTAGAGATCGGACTATCAGACACGAAGCGCAGTATCGCTCGTGCTTGATATCTCGAATTCTCGCACTCCCCCGCAGTGGCCCCTACCTTCGCCGGCAAGCCGCTAGCTACCTCTCTTTCGCTGTATCAGTGGCTGTACGCGTGTCCTTTTGTGAGACGAACACATGACTGTCGAAGTGGAGACCTCGGACGCCGCTATGGCGTCTCCCACGAGCTCCAGTGGCACCGGCCCCGAGTCCCTGCGGTTATCGGAGATCGAGAGTGCGCACCTGTGCCCAGCAGGTCGTATGAAGATGGAGGAGCTATTCCGCCAGTGGCTTAACGTGGATGGTACGAAGGAAATGATTCAGAACATGGTGGCCGACCTACGTCAGGGCAAGGAGCTAAACTTGGACGCGCTGCTGGCCACGGTCAGCGCAGCTGGCAGTGGGGCCGACTCGCCCTCGCGCAGCCCCAAGCGTCCGCCTAACTACCATTTTGGTATGCTCAGTCCCGGCGCAGTCGGTAGCCCCAGCGCGCGCAGACGTCATCAGCACCTGGTTAGTCTCTTTGGGGACGAGCTCCACAGCGCTGCGGCCGCAGTAGCTGCAGCTGCATCGGATAATGAAGTAGCCAAGGCCGATGAGGTTGACGCTGAAGCTGCAGCAGCACCGGATGACGTGGACATGACTGGAGGAGACAGTGAGGCTGCGAGTGATAACGATGGCGCGCAGGAAACTCCGGCAGATATGGACCAGAAGGAATCTGCAGTATCTGTAGAACAGGCCGATACAGACGAAAACATGGAGGGGGAACAGGAACAGCAGGCGGTGGAGGAAGCTCTAAAGACCGAGGAGTCTGCAGCAGCTGAGTCTGACCAAGTCATGACTGAAGAGATCTCCAAGCAGGCTCAGATCCCCAGGTTTTACTCGCCTGGCGAAGGCCGGCGAGGCCGACTGCGTTGTCTGTCCACAGATGCTATGGCTCGCAAGGCATCGGACATCGAGGCGCGTTTCCGTGAGTTTTCAGAGGGCATGAAAGTGGAGGATTTCGTGGCCATCACCAAGGATCTTTGTGGATTCCCTTCGTTTTTCAATGCGCCATTTTTTAGACGTATCCTTGCGACCTGTGGAGCAGCGGGGGAGACAACACCGAAGCCGCCGTCCAACCCGACACAGGAGGACGCTTCTAGTCCCACGAGCGCTGATGGTGGCGTGGCACTGCAGCGCATTACGAAGGAAATGTTCCAGACCTACTGGATGCGCGAGATGGCTCCTTGTGACAGCGTGGAACGATTCTTTAGAGTAGTACGTGACCATGTGATTTTTGCTGCAGTTTTATTAAAGAACTGGCTGATGCTGTTGCTGTAATTAACAGGTGAAGCAACCGAAGAACGACTTTATTGAGCGAGACGACTTTGCGCCGTTTTTGCATGGTGAGTTACACACGCTGAAGCTGTGGCGTATGCTGCGTTCAAATTCCTCATTCGTGTCCATTTTTCGTGAACAGAACTGCTGAAATATCATCCTGGCCTAGAGTTTCTTGGGGGTACTCCCGAGTTTCAGGAGAAATATGGTATGAAATTTGCTGGAATGAGACGAAATGATTGTTTTTTTTTGCAAAGCTAAGAGCTTGTTTGCTTGCAGCTTTGACGGTGGTGGTACGGATATTTTATTCCGTCGATAGAGACAGTAGCGGCCAACTTACGTTGCGGAAACTGAGACGCAGCAATCTCATTAGCGCGTTTAACGCTGTGGACGAGGAAGAAGACATAAACAAGGTGCGTGCCCAGCTCTATCATTGTTGCAGTACTTGGCTAACTGGTGAACGGCTTCTAGGTGAACTCGTACTTCTCCTATGAGCACTTTTACGTGCTCTACTGCAAATTTTGGGAACTGGACACGGACCACGACTTTCTTCTCAGTCCGGACGACCTCGTACGCTATGGCGGCCACGCCCTTACACGAATCATTGTGGATCGTATCTTCGAGCGTGGACGGCGTCCGTTTGCCCGTGTCCAGACATTGACATCCGAGGAAAAGAAAAAAATGAGCTACGAGGATTTTATCTGTACGTGGCCAGTGGGCGCTTTTTTTAATCCAGTTGCTAACAAATGCGTGTTTATGGCTTCAGACTTTATGCTCTCGGAGGAAGACAAAGCAAATCCCGTCAGTATTCGATATTGGTTTGAGCTCATCGACACGAACGAGGATGGCGTACTGCGCGCCGACGAGATGCGCGTATTTTACCGTCACCAGATCCACCGCATGGAGTGCCTTGGCCACGAAGTGGTGCCGTTCGAGGATATTTTGTGCCAGATGTCGGATCTGCTGCATCCAGAAAAGGAGGGCGAGTTCTACCACAAGGATTTCATTCGCGCGGACAAGATCCGAGTGTCGGGCGTCTTCTTTAACGTGCTGTTCAATCTCAGCAAATTCATCGAATTCGAGCAACGAGACCCGTTCCTTCTGCGCCAGCAGCTCGCCGAGCCGGAGCTTACGTAAGTTTCTGCACTGGAGCAACAAGGGTTGGAGCTAGTACTAAGCAGATGATTACCGGTATTGCTGTTAATACAGGGATTGGGACCGCTACGCTCGAGCCGAGTATGCTCGATTGGCTATGGAGGAGGAGAGTCGCGACGAGGACACTGCGATGGACATTGACACCATGGACGGCTGGTATGTGTCGGACGAGCAAGAAGAAGAAGAAGCCCCAGAGGGCGGTGCTGGTGCTGACAGTACAGCGGGTGAAGGGCGAACGGCCGAAGCTCCTTTTTAACCTTTCCCCCCGTGCAACGAGGTAGATTCACTTTTCATTTCCCCTTTAGAAGACGGTGGACAGTATTGGACTGCGCCGCAGCAAGATCAAAGTAAGTAGAGCAACACGCATGAATCCCGTCAATCAGCTACCGTAGTTAACCTTTAGACAGGGGGCAGCCGCAGAGCTTGTTATTACTTACTGGCAGCCTCCTGTGCCTTGCGCAGTTGGTTCACGCGGTCGTTGCACTGCTTGAGCTTCTTGACCTGCTCCTGGCACTTTCTCCAGTCGCGATCGAAGTCTGCGAGGCAGTCTTCTAGCTTGTAATAGTCCTCATGGCAGCGATTACGCTCAATCAGCTCGTCAACGTCCAAGTCCTCGCCGAAGTCACTCTTGCTACCAGCGTGAAGCCCCGCAATGGGCACAGGCGGCTTGGTAAACGTGTCGCTCATGCTGGGAATTGTTTTCTACGTACCGGTACTGTACTGTGGTTTTTAGAGAAATTAACTCGGGGTTCATGGAATCACACAATAATTGTCGGTAAGAAAAAAAATTCCTGACGGATAAAATCCCGACAAATCAGTCAGCATCAAAAGTAGAAAAACGCCCCCTCCCCCCCTTTCACCCCTCCCAACTTATTCTGGGCATTTCATTTCAAAAGAGGCACGAAAAGCAGGACAATCAGCATGGCGAGCGTCGCGTCGGCATCCGAGCCCGACGCCGAGACCACTGAAGCTAAATCCCCGGAGGTCCACGTCCCCACATCTGCCGCCGTTGTCGCCCGAGCCCCACGTATGGATGAGGAGACGTTCGGGAGTTGGGGTGCGTCTTTCGAGTATTTTGACGCATATCAGCACAAAACCCACCATATATTCAAGAAGAGGACCTCTACAAGCGCCACGGCGAGGAACGCGGATCTCCGAGACCGTGGTAAGGACACCCCGCAGACCATTATACCAGACGCTTTCGACAAGTACTACCGAAAGTTGGTGTGCACGCATAGTTGGTCAAGGCCCAGCCGTTCGAAGGGCAAGAGGCACAACTACTTCGTGAAGTCTACCGGATGTCAAGCGCAGATGACGGTCGTCGTAATTTGGGATGCTGCTCAGGGTTTTCAAGTGAAGGTTACGCACCAGGAGACAGCGCACAACCACTCACTAAGCTCAGGATCTTATGGAAATCACCCCTCAAATCGACGCGTTGCAGACGAAGACGTGATTGACTTCGTGGATGAGCTTCAAGCTGCCGGGACGAAGAAAAAGTTGATTCTGCAGTTTTTGAGGAAGAAAACTGGTACGCTACATGATTGTATCCTTGTTATTATGCTTGTTTTGGTTCTAATGCCTGGTTAATAGGCAAGCATGTTACCCTGCGTGATGTGCACAATATTGTGCCGAAGCTGAAAGAGGCGCGGCGTGGAGCTACAACCGTCGAGGCAAGACTGGAGTCGGGTTTGAGCGATTTCTGCTCTCGAAAGGGTAATACGGCGACCATTTATGTGGATGACGAGAAGCTAGCGCAGACGATCACTTTTCAAACCCACCAGATGCGAAGATTCTTTAAGGCGTTCCCACAGGTGTTGATGGTGGACGCCACTCACAGCACCAACGATGCTCGATACAAGCTCTTCAGTTTCATGATTCACGATGTCTTCGGCCATGTAAGTACTCTCTTGGTGGCTGTGTCGATTGTGTGACTCTAATTGTACCTCTGTGTTGGTTTGTGTGACTCTACTGTGCCCGTGTGTCCCGCTACATTTGTGTGCGTCTATGTGACTTTACTGTGGTTGTGTGCCATTGCTACAACTGTGTACCTCTTTGTGGTTGCTTGTGTACAGGGGCAATACGTGCAGCCTGCACTCATGGAGAACGAAAGTGCTGATTGTTTGGGGGATGCAGTGAAATCGTTCAAATCATTTAACTCAACCTGGGACCAAGTTCGAGTGATTATCGTGGACAAAGACTTTGGAGAAATTGTGCTTCTGCAGGAGGCTTTTCCTGCAGCAAGAATTCTGCTCTGTGTCTTTCATGGGGTGAAGTATCTTGGGGAGAAATGGCAAAGAGGGAGTATAATATTGAAGATCGGGATAAGGTTGAGGACGCCGTTCACATGATGGTGGACGCCAAGACGGAGCTTGAGTACGAAACGAGTCGTAGATATCTGTACTGCGTGGTTGACGGAAAGCAAATTACACTCGAAGAAGATATTCCAGAGGACTCAACACACCCATTTCTGAAGTACTTCCACGAGAATTGGCACAATTGCAGACACATGTGGAGTGGATTTGGTCGTGTAGACGTCCCTCATTTGGGAAACACGACAAACAACAGGTACTGAGGCGTTTTTGTGCTGTCTCAAGTTCTAATTGCTAACTGTTGACTTGTATAACGACTTGGGTTGGAGGCGGCATGGGGCCACTTGAAGGACGTGCTGAAGTCTACGATGGCACTCGATGAGTGCGTGGATACTCTGCAGCTCTTGCAGTCTATTGCGGAGATGGAGTATGCGAAGAAAATGACAGACGTTGGACACATGCGTTACGCTGGAGCTGATGCTGAGTTGACGAAGCTATCAAAAGAGGTTAGTCAGCACGCCTACGAACTGGTGGAAAAGCAGTATCGCGTTGCTAATGATCGCAAGACTACGTATACAACGCGCGAACTACAATCTTACATGATCGAGATGGTGTCAGTAGTTGACACGAGTCGAACGTACCATCTTGATGCTAAGGTGCGTGAATTGTTTTGTCCATAATGGCTGAATGGTATCAATACTTATTGAATGGTTATTCTGACTTGACAGACGTATCACTGTTCGTGTATTTTCATGAGGACAGAGCTGCTTCCCTGTCGTCATGCTATATACTGGCGTTTACTTTGTAAAAAAAGCCCCATTCCAGTCAAGCACATCCACCCTCGTTGGAGTCTGTCATCCCCGCTGAACATTCCCGTTTAAGAAGATGAGGATGCAGAAGACGGAGAAGCAACGAGTGGATCATTTCGGTTGCGAGATTCCGCTTTGACAGCGGTACGCCACAAAGTGCTCAACGGGACTAACAAGTTCCGAACATCACACGCTGTAGCGACGCGAATTGCAGATATCATGAGCCGAAATGGAACTCCCGTGTTTATCCAGATGCTGAAAAGTCTTAAGCGCTTTGAGTCCATTGCAACGGATGGAGAGGCACATTTCGTTTCTGTATGGCCAGATCGACTCTCTCAACTGAATCCCCTTTCGCAGATTTCTGAGATACATGATGGTGGAGCAGCAAAATTCCGATGACACCAGTGAGCCTCCAACTGCAATCGCCGACGCCACTATCTACAACAACGAGGATGAGATACAGCGTGAGGGCGACCTTGAGGAACCTGACGATGCTTTGGGTCGCGGTGGGCCTATGGTGGCTCAATCACCAAGTCACTCACGTGATGTGTCACCTTGTTCAAGTCACATGGGTCACACGATAGAGGTGACGGATAGCAGCAGTCACTCTGGAGGGGCCAGTCACTCCGACGAAGTGACGAGTGATGTGCAAGGTTTCCCCGATCAATCTGAGATGCGGGACGAGCGGAGTATTGTGGGGCTATCACATTCGAGCTATGACGAGACAAAACAAGTAGCACCTCCAGCAAAGAGAGCGCTTTCAGATGGCGGACATCCCAGTTCCAGCTCAAGTGAGAAATGCTCATTCTTCGTCTCGAAAAGCACCAAAAGCCGCGGTCGGCCCAAGATACGAAAGAACCAGAAACAACAAGTGAAGAAGCAACGATTGGTGAACTCTCTGAAGGAAGCCAAACAGCTCGTGCAAGGGACGTTGACGCCGGTTATCACGCTAAGCAATGTGGCCACAGTGTTGAAGTCGACATACAGTTACGAATCCGCGTACGAGTTCCTCTCCAAATTATCGGTAAAGACGCTGGGCCCCAGGAAACAAGTAATAGCGAAGATGGTAGCCCCCAGTGAGGCCCTGAGCAGCGTCAAGTTCGTGTTCACCGAGCAATTCACGCATAAATGCAGAAATGTTTTGGAAACGTACAGAGAGGCACTACCAGATCCGAAGTCACCCGTAGGTGTTCGTCTCGCTAAGATCGGGGTCATCAGCGAGGACCAAGTGCAAGTAATGGTGGAGTACCATCGTCTATGGAGGCAGTGTCTGATACAATTGAGTGGATGGAAGCTACGTCGCTAAACAGACTGGATATTCCAGAAGGTCTCAATGAGTATGTTGAACTAGATAAGATCAAGGCTACCACAGCGCTGCAGCAGATTGTCTTGCCAATCTCACGCTTGACACCGTTCGGAATGGTCTCGAATGAATCCGTTCTGCTGCTGAGAGAAGACCTATGACTGAACGACGACTGCATGATGCACGTAATGACGACGATTCAAGAAGAGCATGCACACGTTGGTATTATTTCGCCAGGCGTTACCGGTACGGATGACCCTGAAACGCAGGAAAAGGTCATCAGCGGCTCCGATCCATTCCAAGAGCACAACACGCATGTGTTGCTGCCAATTCATATCAACAGAAACCACTGGTGCGGTGCAGTCTTTGACTTCAAGTCCACACCAAACGGATCACAGTATTTGACCCCCAACAGAAGCCAAAGCAACTTGAAACGTGTGAAGACATTGTCAAGAAAATCTTTCCAGAGATAGTAGCCAAAATGGATTGGAAACGAGAAGTGTGGCTGAAGCAGACAGATGGACACAATTGCGGACCTCTTGTTCTCCTGTTCTTTGAGAGCATTGTGCGTGACGTCGCTCTCCCGAAGTCGCCATCGAAGGCACTCCTTCGGTACTACAGGATGAGATATCTACTGAAGTCATTGCATGTTTAGGAGAGACGTTAGCACACTGCAAAAGTTGCGTAATTCATTCAGTTCATGCATCAACCGGGTTTCTTTACGATGTTCAACACTTTCTGGTACATGAAGCTATACATCAGAATGTCATTAGGGCCTCCGTTGATCTCATTACTTCCACATCGGACTCACGGACTCACGTTGATTTCCTTATCGGACTCACGGACTCTCTTGCGAAAAAATGCTAACTCATGTGTACAATCTGGCAACACGCAGACTTCATCGTATTCCTTCGACATTCGCACGACATTTGACGATTGCGCAACCACGTCCACACACTTGGATGGCCTCAATAATGTCTACAAACGATGAAATTTTGGAAATATATTCGTTATGTTATTCTCTTTGTGTGGCTTTGTGCCTTTGTCGTAGGTACACAACCGATTATGGTGACATTTATACGCACTTAAGTACGAAGTCACATAACCATTGTGTGACTCTAACATCGATCAATATTAATACAAGGGGGTTGTAATACAGAGAGGGATTTGAAATTCAGACTTCGCCCAAAAGCTGAACAGATTCTACCGTATTAGTTCCCAAAGGATATCAAGTAATCATAGGCTATGAATTCTTGCAAATCATGTATGCTCTGGCTGAAAGGAATGAAAGTAGTACAT